TTAGCAATAATTGTTTTTAATGCAAATAAGATTACTTTTACTTTCTTGTCAGCATTCCTAGTTCTAAAGACAATGGCAACCAGTACAAATAAAAAGTCAACAGAAGGCTTTGAAAGAATCATTTAATGTTGATGACCTCATCATGTTCCTGCACCTTCATTCACTCATTCATTCATTCATTCATTCACAAAATGACACTTTATTATTGCCTATTGGGTGCCGGATGCTAAGAGTGTAACAGCGTGCAATATGGACCCAATTTGTAGGAAAAACCAACGTTAAGCAACATCTTTAAAAATTTAAGACTGTAAAAGGGTTCTGGTGGTGAACTGGAGGACAATAAAAAAAGAACTTGGCCTGGTCCTGGTGGCTGAAGAAGAGTTCCCTTAGAAAGTGATGCTTAATCTAGAGCCTGGAGCATGAATTGGAGAGAAAGTTGAAAGAAGGGTAAATATTATGAGCTAAGGTTCCTAATGGATTCGTCCAGGCTCAGTTCGCATCTATGCATTCTGTCACTTCGGTACAGCATGAAGGTCAGAACCAGCAGGCGTCCTGTACTAGGGAGGTATTAAACACAGCTAGCCCTCCAGGACAGGATCCTCCTATAAGACCTGACCTATTATCACTACAAGCCCTGCCACACAAATATTTTAAAATGGGTTTATAGGAAAGGGCTCTGCAGTTATGTTTTAATCTCATAAATGTGCCTTCTGCCTTACTGGATTATAGTTTTACTAGCATGCCACCATTTTTCTCAGTACTTCTGAAACATAATTAAAAATTCATGTCTTTGTACCTGTAGTCTGGGAGGAAGGGTAATCATGTTGTCTGAGCCTATATACATTTTTCTTACCTTCGATAGGAACACAAAACACAGGGAGCTAGAACCCTACTTTGTACTGTGAGTAGCTTGCAAGATTTTACCTCTGTCTCCCCGTAACTCAAAGTAAATTCTTCCTTTTTTGTTTGGGGGGGAACCTAGTCAAACCTAAGGATACACAGTTATGCTTTGATTCAATTACTCAAGTAAGATTTATGTTTCACTCCATATCAGGTTCTAGAGTAGGAACAAAAAAGCAACGTTGCATAAAGAAAAGAACTCTGATCTTCACAGTTTACTGATTAAGAGGGCCAAGAAGCTGAAAGTGGATCATAGTGGTCAAGAAAGTGCTTGTGTTCAGTCATGTGCCATTCGTTCAATCTGGAATTGAGAATTCCCCCCATGGTCTCATTCATGTTTTTGAATGTGTGGCTCTCAGCCGGCAGTGCTAATTTTAGTGCTATAGAGCTTTATGAAGTGGGGGACTAGTTGGTAAAATAGGTGACAAGGAAAAGTCTTCCCAATCCTGGATCCAACCTGATCTCTTTGCTTCTTAATCTGTCATCGTAAAAATAGCCTCTGCCTCATGCTCTCTCTGCTCTGAACTAGGCTGCCCCTCACATGCCTTTCTTGACATGATGGACTGCAACCCTCTGAAACTGTGAGCTGAAATATATCTTTCCTACCTTGTTATGCCAGGTGTTACATCACCATGAGCCAAAAGCCATACTAAAAACTAGGTCCAGGAAGAGGAATCACTGCTATGATTAAACCTCTGTGCCTCTTAAGTCTTAAGAACTGGTTTACAAAAGAGGCATGTGGTAGCATTTGGAGATACAAACTAGACAAGTCCTAAGATGCTGTAAGAAGAGCTTAACAATTGTAGTCGGAGTGTAGAAGACCAGAATGCTGATAGAAATGTAGATGGTGAAGACAGCATCAGGTTTCACATGGGAAAGTTGCTATTGGGAATTGGACTAGAGGCATCCCTGTTGTACTCTGGAGAAGAATTTGTCAACATTCTACCCATGTCTTGAAATTTTGGCAGAGCGGTTTTTCAAGACAGCATGGTACACAGGCAGCAGTATAGAGGTATGGCATAATTTTAGCCAGCTTTACACTGAGAATTGGGGGCCTCGAACTCCTGTCTCAAAAAACCAAAAAGAGAGAGAGAGAGAGAGAGAGAGAGAGAGAGAGAGAGAGAGAGAGAGAGAGAGAGAGAGAAAATTGGGGGCAAAGAGAAGAGCTGAGCAGCAGGGTGTGAAAAGTACTGTGTGTGGGTCTTCAGCTGTAGGCAAAGCATGAGCAGACTGTGCTGTTGTGTTTGCTGCAACAATTAACACTGTTGATGTGAAGCTATTGCATTCTGCACTGGAACAATAGCAGAAGTGTTTGGACAGTGAAATCTCACCTATTGAGGGGTTGAAGGGTGTAAAAACAGAAATTCATTTCAAAGACTTTTCTTTAAAAAGAGAATGCTAGCTGGGCAGAGGTAGCTCACACTTTTTATCCTAGTACTTAAAAGGCAGAGGCAGACAGATCTCTGAGTTTGAGGTCAGCCTGGTCTACAGAGTGAGTTCCAGGACAACTTGGGCTATACAGAGAAACCCTGATTTGAAAACGAGAGAGAGAGAGAGAGAGAGAGAGAGAGAGAGAGAGAGAGAGAGATGCTATAGGGCCCTCTGTTGGCAAAAGTCCACCTAGGAGAGTGTTTTCCAGACTTAAACACACTCAGAGGCCACTGTAGCCATGACCCAATGGGGCCTGGTTAGGTCTCAAGATGATAGAGGAACCAACATCATCCATATGATGCCCATTTTACTGGTATACAGACTGCAAGAATTATAGGGTCATAGAATTTTATGCCAAGTTTTCCAGAGAAAAGCCTAGAGTGCCAGGGAATGTATCTCAGGGTCGGATTCCCTGTTCCCTGCAGAGAGAACAGGTTATGTGCGAAATGCGTCTGTACTTGAAGTTGAGATGATTCATGAGAGATAATGTCTATTAGTCAATTTTTGAAAAATACCACTATAGATAACTTGAAAGGAGGGAAGATGAAGTTGACGCATGCTTTGAGAAGTTTCAGGTCAGGCTGTCTCCATTGTCTCTGGACCATTGAAGGGCAAGACCTGATGATAGAAAGGTATGGTAGGAAAGAGTTTCTCATCTCATGGCAATCAGAGGAAGAGAGAAGGAGCCAGGAACAAGGTGTCTTTCTAATGCGTGCCCCAGTGACCTATTTAATCCAGTTAGACTCCAGCTCCTTGTTTCCATCACCTCCTGGCAGTGCCATCAGGTTAAGAATTCATCAAGGGATTAATCTATTGATTCCATTCAAATCCTCAGTATCCTGTCACTTCCCAGGAGCCATTTACCTGTCAATCAAGCCTGTAACACAGGAGCCTGTGGGGGAACATTCAAATCACACACCCTGCTACAGAGAGATAGCATACAGAGGGGGTGTGTCGTCCTGCAGGCTGGATCTACATCAGCAAAGATATAGGAAGGCCACTTCTCTTTGAGGAAATGTTTTTAGATTTGCTGAATGAATAGAAAATGATTTGAAATGAAACATGTCAATGCCCCCTCTTACACACAACACACACACACACACACACACACACACACACACACACACCCCACACACCACCTCCTCCTGAAAAGAAAAACACTGCAAGTCTAAAGGATAATTTGACTAAACATAATGCTAAATACCAGTCACAACTTTTCTCTGCTAAAGAGAGTTTCCTGGTCTTTATTCAACTTTTTCTTCAAGTAATAGGGCCCTTCACAGCTCTCCAAGACTAAGGCTATGCCTATGCACCCCTATCTTCAGTAGCCATTGGCTAATTATATGCCTAAGAGGTACCATTTACCCTGTCTGATATGTCGTCTGTAAATGAGAAGATGCATCCAGTGCCCATTTTCGTGGGAACGTTGATCCGGATGAACTAATAAGGCAATTTAACCTGTGCATGAGTGCCCAGCCACATTTAATGCACAAATGTTGCATGCCCCTGAGCCAGTACAAAGGGGGGCCCATAAATGGCTTTCTTACTCAGACTCACCCACCTTCAGTTCTTCCATCTCCTTTGCACAGTAACTTTACTTTCAGTCATCCTTACACCCCCTTTCCATTCCCTACAAAATGGAGTTGATTTCCTGAGCAGTACGCTGGAGTTTATAAATCGCTTTGTCTACATTTCTGGGCTTCCAATGATCTCTGAACCCACCGTCCCTCTTCTCTCATGTCGAAAAAATGGCATGTCCTAACTCTTTCCAAATCCTATCTTAAATTTGTCATCCCGTTCCCCTTTAGCTTCTGGGACCCATAGCTTATTCCTTCTGCAAACTTTTACCAAGCATGCGCCTTACAAGATGCCACGGGAGGACACAAATGAAGTTTGAGATGAAAAATGTTGGTGTCCTTCCAACAGTATTAGGCTTGGTAACTTGCCATGCTGCCACCAGGGACATTATCGCTATGATCCTGTGGTTCCTTGTCATCACCTATTCAACATCATGTCTCTTGGTGTCCAGCATAGTATCTGACACATTCTGGTATCATATAAACACCTATAAAATGGAATGGCAGATTCCACAGTTCAAAAATCAAATGCTGTCACTCTGCTCTGCAATTTCCTCAAGCCTTTTGTGTCCTTTCTGTCTCTGCCAACATCCTTGAAAGGGAGGTTAGATTCCGTGCCACCATTTCATTTACCACCCACTCACTCTTTCACCCCTTTTGAAACCAGCTCGCCACCCCCAGCAGCCATTCAACTGAAATCACCCTCCTTAAAGGCCACCAATGATTTCCCATTGCCAAATCCAGATGGCCATTTTTCTGCGCTCAATTTTCCACGCTGGCTGTGAAACATTGGATCCTGCTGCCAGGCCTCCTTCCCAATCCTGAGCAGAGTTCATGGAAGGTTCCAGTTTCAGATAGTACACATTTTGGAATGTGTAGGTTCTGGATATGGCCAGAGTCCAAAGTTCAGTTTTCTTATCTGTAAAATGGGGTTAATAAAGTTATGTCATTTGTGTCTGGCACACGACTGGTTTGCCTTCTGATCCTCTCTCTACTCCCTCTCATTCCACACACACACACACACCCTGCTGCCAAACTCATCTTTCTAGAGTCAATGAGTTTGCATCATTACCCAGGGACTAGAAACAACACATGCAGAGCTCCGCTTTCCAGGCCTCAGCTCAGAGAATGCACAGCTGCAACCCAACAGGGAACACCTTTGAGCCTCAGAGTCTGACAGCCGCCGCCCCCGCCCCTCGACCCTCCCCCCTCCACCGCCATGTCCCTTGGTAAAGCAGCTGTCATTTAGTAACTGTATATCTTCTTCATCAGAATGACATATTCGCTTCATCTAAAGCTAAAGGGCTTAGCTCTAAAACCGTGATGATTGTTACCTTTCTAACCTAATTTTTCCACATTTTTTCATTCAAGTTTCCTACATTGTTCATGGAAACTGGACTGGGCCCCATTCCCATTTAACAATGAGTCCTCCTCCCTTTTGTCCTCTAGCTGAAATGGCTCCATTCCCACCTCCAGGTAGGAAACTGTGTCCGACTCCCCTCAAGTGCCATCCCTCTTCATAGCTGGGACGCTTGTCCTACCACTGATGTCAAATATTCTCTTTGGGACCACTAAAATTTTCTCCTCTCTCTTCCCTGCCCCACCAGCTGAACCTTTGCACACTGGCCAGGTTGTCTTCCTTTAGCCAGCCTTGGCCATGCTGTAGCTTATTAAAGATATGCCATGCCCAAACATGATTCATTTCCTCAAACCCAGCACCCTTATCAAGAGCTTCACAGAACTTCATCCAAATGTTCCAGATAATGTCAGATCTCCCATCTGTCAACCAGTCAGCAGGACAAATTCCTGCCAAAGAGGCTGAAGCTGTGTAGGGTTTGAACTTCTTAATGCTAATTATATTATTAACTAGATTAGTGACTTTATATGTTAACCTTAAGTGAGAATAAAATCTCAATTTATCAATGTTGCAGCCCTTTTCATCACTTATCAATAGATGAAGCAACTTTCCATAAAAATTTGGATACATTTGCATATTACACTCCAGCTTACTGGCTCATAATGGTGTCAACAAAGCAGGACCACTGGGCTATGTTTAGAGTCACACTCCTGGATACCACCTGCAGAGATATCGCTCTGGTAGCTCTAGACATAAACTGGAGCACCTGCTGTTAGACGGTGACACAGGTTCCTGGGATTGCTCCTGGGGTTTGTGTTTTTTTTTTTTTTTTTTTTTTTTTTTTTTTTTTTAAGCAACAAAAACTGTTGGTCTTTTTTTAATGAAGTTATTTCTTTGATAATTTAATACATGAATTGTCCTTACCATCTCTTCCCTGCCCCTCTCTTATCTCCTCTCCCTCCTTCTACTAATTAACCACATAACCACATGCCTGTTTCTTTCTCAGATTCATGACTTTTGGTTTTGCTGTGTGACTCAGGGTTAGGGTTAGGGTTAATACACACAGATACTTACACATAAATAAATTAAAATTCTTAGAAATCCTACAAAGATATATACAAAGTGACTACACACTCATATGGAAACACATTATTTGTGTTTTGAGACAGGGCTTCACTCTGTAGCCTTGGCTGACCTGGAACTCACTATGTGGACCAGGCTGGCCTTTAGCTGTAAAAATCCATTGCTTCTGCTTTCCATGTGCTGGGACTATGGGCATGTGCCACCATGCCCAGCTGGGCCATCTGTGTGACCATCAGGTGGGAATTATCCTTTGGAGCCAGGTGGAACCATGAGTGTGTACACAGCTGAAGGCAATGACTTCCCCCTTTCACTGAATCTATGGTCCCAAAGTTGTTCAGCAGTGAGGTAGTGACCTCTGAGGCCCTGCTTGGCTGTTGATGGGCCCATTTACACAAGTCCTTGAACTGTGTGGGATGCAGCTGGGCAGCTAGCTGTAGGAAGACAACACAGACTAGATTCTGATGGTGCGTTTCTTTACCTAGGTTTTAGCATCACTTAGAAACATTTGGGTGGGAGGATATCAGACTGACCCGGAAAAGGATTGAAAGAGAAAAATCACAAGGAGGTGAAGAAAATCAGGAGTATACTGCCTATACTGCAATTACGACTCTAGAACACACAGAACTGGAATGAGTCCCAAGTCCAAAGTAAACTGAATTTTAATAGGCTAGAGGCTGGGAGGACATTTGCATTGTTTGAACAAGTACATCCAATGTCATATCATTTTGATTAATTTCAGCAAGATTTAATTTGAAAACTCTTTGAATTTTGTTTTTAGTTTTCACTGGATTTTTACATTTGAAATATGAAAGTTGAAGGTGTAGCTCAGTTAGTGGCATGTTTGCTTGGCATAGACAAAGCCGTGAGTCCCACTGCAGCACCACATAAACTTGCAGTAATACTCTGGAAGTAGAGGGAAGAGGATTGGGACTTCTGGCAATCCTACAGTGCAAGGCCAGCCTGGGATCCATGAGACCCAATCTTTAACAACAAAAAGTAAGCAAGTAAGTAAATAAGTAAAAATAAATAAATAAGTAAGTAAGACAGGAGTGTAGGTTGGAAAAGAAACCTTTCCTGGAAACAGGTTTAGATTGGGAGATTTGAGAACAGAAACGTTTTCATCTGTAGGAAGATTGGCATGGAGGCAGGATTGGGTAGGAGGCGCCATTGAACTGAGATGAGGTCACATCCAGTCCTACAGGGAATATTGAGGTAGGGGTGGCCCTCAAGAGTGTCCCTCCATAATCCCATACTGACTGTGAGTCCCTCTCTCTCCTCCTCAGAGTTGACCTTGAACAAAGAGACAGCAGCAACCAGGATAGTCTCTGGGAGCTCTAGCTCTAGCTTTCAGTCCTGAAAGGACTCGGCTGGGTAGCATAGCATAACTTCTCCTACCTGTGGTCTAGAAAAACTTGGTCTACAAGAGGAAAGGGACAGGCATCAGAGTTCACGTCTCACAGGGAGTCAATGCTACTCTAAAAATGCTCTACCATCAGTAAGATTTCAAGTCTTACTCCATTTCACAATGTAATCCCCCTCCACTGCTATCTATCTCATAGGCTCTTTAAACTCCATAAACTTCACAGCCAATACCCTTTCGTCTTCATCACATGTATACATTTGTGCCTCTTCAATCTCCCAAAGGATGAGTTTGTTCCCTGGCTTCCTTCCTCCGCTTTTTTAAAAACAAAATACTATATCCCAGAGCTCCTCTGCAGGTCACAGTATACAGCCCCAGAATGCTACCACAGTAGCTCACCCCCAGCTCCCATTCAGCTGCATAAACTTCCTCTCTCCCTGCTTTTATAGTCTCTTTGTCCACAGGTAAGCTCCTGTGATTTAACACCTGGAAAAGCATGTTTCTTAATTCCTCTATTAGAAACTCAGAACACCCTCTTCGGGTAACATAAACTGATTAACTGGAAATGGGAAAACAAACAGGCTGTAGTAACCCACAGTGAAGAGGTTATCAAACGGCCATTTCCTGACAACTCATGAAAACCTACGTGAAAATAATTCTGTGGGTCAGCAGCAGCAAGGATGTTTCCTTGGCCTTCAGTTATGAAGTCTTAAAAAGCAGGAGTTGCACCTGTCCTGTACTGCTTTCCATTGCACAATGTCTAGCACACGGTTAGAACTCAATAGAATGAGATAATTTTTTTTAGCCAGCAATGCACCTGGGAAGGCTGGCAGGCTGCCACCAACTTGAAGGCTGGTGTTCGTCAGTGATTCCTGTGCCTTTATGTAGAAGTAGAAAGTCATGAATCACAGCATCCAGACAGACTGCTATGAGGATTATCCATTGAATAGAACAGTTTTCCTGTTTGTATTTTTTTAATGAGGATAAAATATACCACCAGTATAATCCTACTTTACGATTCAACAAGAGAATTGAAGGAGCAAGGAGGACTAAGGAACTGTGTTACTTCTGTATCATCTACCCTGAAGGAGCTTAACATTCCCTTGTTTCATTTTAGCAAAGTTTTTTTCTTACTAAATGGAGTTCAAAAACATTTTTCTAAACTTGAAATCATTTCTGACTCCTTGTAAATATTGGATGATGCAGAACTGAAGGGGTTGGGGGAGGGGAGTCATCTTGTGTTCACACTTTTATATCAGATGGGAACAGGACCGAAACATGGATGGTGAATTAAATTTAAAAACCATCAACTTGTTCGGAGACTGAGAAGGTAATAGAAAAAGATGCTCTGCATCTGTGAGTCTTTTCGAGAACACTATTTTGCAGTTGCGGGGGCATGGATCTCTGCAAAATGAAAAAATAGGTTATACATTTGATTTATAATCTCCCCTGTCTGTCTTGGGTTTTTATGAGTTGTATCTAAAAGAGATCTGGAAAATTATAATGAATTGAAAAATTGAGATGCTTCCCTTCATTGCTAAGATTCTTAGGTATTCCAAATTGAAAGAAACTAGAGTTAGGAAATAGCTTTGGCTCTTTGGAGAGCTATTTATTTAGTGAAACCAGTATGGTGCGGTCCTTGGAAGTAAGAAGATTGCTGCTGACTTTAAAGTGGATCTTGAGTGATAATGAAGGTCACCAAGATATTTATTTGAGGTAGGGACTGAATACTTGGAAGATGGTGAAGGCCAAAAAGAAAATAATGTGTCTTTAGCTTTGAAAATGAAAATAGCCATTTATAATATGCCAGACTTCACATATGTTAACTTATTTATTCCTGACAGCAAACCAGTGGGGTTTGCTTCTAGTCCATAAATAATGAAGTCAGAGAGTTGAGGAATTTTCCAGGGTTTCCAGCATAATGAATAGTGAAGAAGTTACTGAATAGAGAACTAATTCTAAAGCCAATGCCCAAGATTCCATGAGGACTTTCCAAATGGCAACTTGATCTTAATATCAACTATGATGGCCGTTTTACCATCTTGTGGAAACTTTAAAGTTATATTAAATGCAGTAAGGGCAATTATACATTTGAAAAAGTCTTCTTCAACATTATACTGATGTGGAAGTATTTTTGTAATAACTTTAACATGAAGAACTGGGGGAACAATAGATGCCATAGGACTTACTCAATCCTAACACTTGGGAAGCAGAGGCAGGTGGATCTCTGTGAGTTCTAGGCCAGGCTGGTCTACAGAGTAAGTTCCAGGACAGCCAGGGCTACACAGAGAAACTCTTGTCTTGAAAAGAAAAAAAAGGACTTAGTCCTAAAGATAAGAACTTGCTAGCTATTGTTTGGCAAACATGCATGCATGCTTGCGTTCGTGCATGCGTGCCGGTGTGTCCATGAAATGTGTATTCATGTTGGA